TCTCTCTCTCTCTCTCTCTCTCTCTCTCTCTCTCTCTCATGTGCCAGGTACTAATCTGTGAAGATGGCGCTGTGCTGCAGGTACCTTGAAGACGGAGCTGGAGCTATGGCGCTGCAGGTAAGTCTCCCTGGCCTCCGCCCAATCTCTCTCTCTCTCCCGTACTACTCTAGCTCCTACTAGCGCCCAGCGCTGAAGACTACTGCTAACGCTAGTACTACTGCAGCGCTCCTCCAGAGTGCTGCTGCCGAATCCTGAAGACTACCTCCTGCCTCCTGAACTGCATGTGAAGTGCCTGGGAAGTCCCTATGCACTACCTGCAGCCTGCAGGGCGGGCCAGTCTTATATAGTGCTGGCCCGTCCAGGAGGCTGCTCTTGCCAATGCCAAAACGTGCCAGACCCTGGCGTTGAAGTTCAAACAAAGGTTGTCTTGAAAACAGGCCCAAAATGGCCTATGCTAAAACCCTGGTCTGGTGCCTAAGTTTCAGGGCAGGTCGATCTTATGAGGGCCTGAAAATGGCCCTCCGTTTCAGGCTGAAAAGACTCAGGGCCTGGATTTTAGGCTGAAACGACACAGGGCCTGTAGGCCCTTGTTTTCAGGCTTTCAGGCTCAAACGACACAGGGCCTGTAGGCCCTTGTTTTCAGGCTTTCAGGCTGAAAACGACACGGGCCTGAAAATGGCCCGTGCAGCCTGTTGCAGGCGCAGCATGTAACGGTTTTGTCTGGGGGAAGACTGTACACGGAGAGGATGTGGAGTATCAAACCCTAAAGCGGACTCTATAGGGTCTACCATCTTCCCCCGAACATAATGTATATGCGCTGTATTGGAGTTCTTGAAAAATTCAAAAATTCAAATAGAACGCATATGTAATGTATTTGAAAATAACGGTTGTTCGACTCGACAATTCTTGAGACCCAGGCATATATATTACCGATATGATGTTCCGGTACCGATCCGATTTGATAGCGATATAATGTTCCGGCACCGATCAGGGTGTGTGGTTGGCTGACGGTGCGTATCTGTGGATAATACTGGTTGAGCATAGAGGATGAGTGGAGGTTATCGGTCATCTCATTCAGCTTGGAGTGAGTCCACTCCTATAGGTTTAACACTTCTGGAATTTCATCGACACCTGTGACCTTTAGAGTATCTTGCAAGATCTATAGTCTAGAGGGCTAGATCTCAACTCTCATCAGGAGGTCGGTAGCGAGGTTGGTGATAGGACGGCCATGGGATGGTTTATCACCGCTCGAGAGGGTATGCTGGCTGCTGCCGAAGTTCG